TTTGAAATCGAGTACATTTAAACTGGTTTTGTTGGGTTTTTTTTTTTAATAATAAAGATAATGACGGTCTTTCACAATTTTACGGAGTCAAAAACTTGTTGTTTTTTTAAATATAAATTATGTAATAATTTTAATAAAGAAATTGTAATCAGGGAATTGATTCTTACGTACCGTTTGCAACCTGGCAATATTCTATAGCTATAAATAACTTTGATCTTGGACTGTGACAAGCTGTTGGTTTGAAATTGTAGGACGAGGCCGCGATAAATGACTGCGTCTGTAATTGAGTCATTGAGTCACTTAAAAAAAAGAATTCTAACATTGTGCCAACAGTAGATTACAACTCTGGCAAACTAAGCTTTAAGTTCTCTTTACACATCCACCCATCCCCGTGGCCGTTGCCCTATACGGCTCCTGTAGCGATTTGGTCAGCTTCACCACTTCCTTCCACTCGGACTTTTCTTTTCCATGCGTGGATTCCCAGCTGCCGTAGATCTTTTTCCACATCATCCTTCCCTCTAAGCCTAGGTCATGCCTTTGAGGCGTTTCCCTGTGGGGGTTTTGTTGGTGTGCCTTCTTCACTCCTCTGTCATTTGGCATCCTTTCTAAGTGTGCCCCCCCCTTTTTTTTTTTTTTCTGCTACTAGCGTGGGATCATGATAATATAGTCTGTACAGCTCCTGGTTGGTTCGCCATTCATATTCATCCTTTGTTGGTCCGTATATTTTCAGGATAACAATTTTTTCCCATGTGTTTAAAAGGTTTTTTGAAACTTTTTGTTAGGGTCCAAGTTTCACTTGCGTAAGTTACAACTGGTATGATTACAGTTATGTGTATAGCTTTCTTTGTTTCTCTTGTAATGTTTTTACTCTTGAATATTTTATGACGACTAAAATACTCCCTGTTTCCTGCCGATTTTCTGTTGTTTTTTTACATTTCTATCAGAAATTTCTTTCTTAATTTATTAAGGAGACTAGATGTTTGAATTTATTTACTTTTTTTTCAAAAGTGTGGCTCCCAGTTGTAATGGTTTCAAGTGTCTATTTTATCCCCAAATAGTCATGTATTTTTATTTTCTTGCTGTCATTAACTTCCAGCCCTGCTTTTAGTGATGCGTCTTCTAATTTAATAAAAGCTTTTGATATTCTTTTCTACTTTCCCTTAACAGTGCTATGTCACCGGCATATGCAAATTACTGAAGGTGTCTCTATAAATAGCATACAAGACAGTGAGTCTCCTTGGCTTAGGCCTCGTCTAATCTGAAATTCCCTAGATTATTCTCCCTGAACCTTGATTTTTCTTTTTGAGTTAATTGTTCAATGTTACATGTATCAGTCTTTTTCAGTTTGTTGGGTTTGCCAGACTCCTGCAGAGTCTCGTATAGATATTTTCATTTGATGCTGTCATGGGCCATTTTATAGTCCACATGGAGTTGATGTACTGGGATATAGTATAATCGTAACATTGCTCTAATAGGCATCTCATGTGAAAATCTGATCAGTCGTTGATCTGTTTTGTCTGAATCAACATTGGTATTCAACTAATATTCGTTCAGTGTACGTTTGAAGTCTTGTGGCAATCATTTTTGTCAATATTTTGTATGTAACACCTCATAGTAATAGGGAGATTCATCTGTAATTTGTGCACTGAAGTTTGGGGCGTTTCTTGTGTATTGGGGTTACTAATGCTGTTCAGTTTACTAATTTACTCTTCTTGCCAAATTTTAGTTTTAATTTTATGTGTCTGAAGTGTTTGCCCTCCTCCTCCATATTTAATAAGTTCTGTTGTGATGAGGTCTTCCTCAGGGGTTCTGTGGTTTTCATAGAATTGATTAGTTCCTTAGTATCGTCCAAAGTTGGGGAGTTTATTAAAGGGGTCTGGTCCTCCATCGGGTTGTTTATAATCCTCATCTCGTCCATTGTTGTATGCATTTAGTATGCCCTCAAAATGTTCAGCTCACTGCACATACGAGAAGATGAAAAGCCAAATGAAAGTGGCTGAAGTCGTCTCTGGTTGGTCAACTTTGTTTACACCGTAAGGACCGTGCCTCTGTTATGTAACGCGAAGGTTGTAAGGGGTTGTTTATCATTTTGTTAAATGGTGTTATGGGGGGGGGGGGGG